ACACMGTCTCTGCGACAAAAAGTGTGAGAGAGGGTGGCCTTGCTGAGGAGAGGTGGGAAAGGCAGCAGAAGATCAGGAGTCACCAAAAACCTCTATTCTCACCAGCTCAGGGCTGAACAAACCATTCTCCTACCCAGGGCCATGCCCTGGTGTTTTCTAGACTTCTCTTTGTTGTTGTCACTCTCTCCTGGATTCCCTCCTTGCCCTGCTTTGGCTAAAACTGAACACTACCCCATATGAGACTGGTGGCTGCCCTGTATGGCACAAAAATTTCTTCCCATGTTGCTTTTATTAAATACCTGGGGTTTTTATATATAAAATAACTGGGTTTTTATATAGGAAGTTCAGCTAAAGGGGGACAAGATGCTCGGGACCTGAAGCAGTTGTCTTTCAAGAGAGTCTGGACAACCAGGGCTGGCTGGAGAAGAGGTGTCTTTGGGTACTAAAACTGGATGCCAAGAGAAACTTTCTCCCCATGTGGATGGGCAGGCAGGGGGACAGGTTGYTCACAGAGTCTGTCCAGTCTCTGTCCTTGAGGTTTTCAAGACCTGACAGGATAAAGCCCTGAGCAATCTGGTCTCGTCTCACAGCTGCTCCTGCTTTGAGCTGGAGTTGGAGTGGAGACTTCCTGAGCTTCCTTGCAGCATGAATTATCCTGTGATTTATATCCTTATTCTTTTGAAAGACTGCTCTATCTAATTTGAAGTATACTGAAACTTTCAGATCTTTTTTTACATCCCCCAACCTAAATCAATTTGCTCATTTATTTGCCATTTTATTTGTGTGTGTAATCCTACATTTCATCTGACTGATCTGTAGTTCATCAGATCCGTTTTCAGTTCTTACCCCATTCTGAAAAGTCCCTCACTTCTGGATCCTCCTTAGAGAGTGTTGGCATTCCTCCAAGCCACAGCATGGAGCAGGTCCTTGCAGATAGCCTCAACATGTTCAGTCCATTTGTGCTTAAATATCAATAATTATTCTTGAAACGTGCTCCATCRGGAGTCACACAATGTCCAAGTCTTACTGTACTTCTCCTTGCTGCTGTTGATTTAATTGGCCAGTTTTCCAGCACAGGAAGGAAATTTGATCTGAGATGATTCATACTGAAGAACTTCATCATGAATTTTTCTTGGCACATAGAAACTATCTCGGTAGCACATGGCAGGCAATATTACACTTTTTCTTTGTTATTCTCAGTAATGTGTGCATAGATATAAATATATACATGTGTACATATATATTCCTATTTACTTCAGTGTTTCTTTCAGATGGCCAGGAGCGATGTCAGAAGGTCATGAGAACCAGGGGATGGTGACTGGATTTTTAAACATTTCTTGTCACTTGCTGGTTCCTGCAGTTAGGCTGGCTATAACTTTCTGAACCTTCCTTTTCTCACATCTTAAATATTCTTTTAGCCCTTCTTTGGTCCTTTAGTGTCTTCTATGACTTTCCTGCATGTGCTGTCCGGGTGTTCTTTTCTGTCACTTCCCTCCATTCTTCCCCTTAGAAAGCATATGGTTTCTATGATCACTCTTACAGTTACTTTTTTCTTCAGATTATCAACCAAGTTGTCCTAGTCCATTCAGATGAAGCCTAAATTTTTCCTTGAATAATTCTTTTCACCCTTCCTTTGCCATTCCTGCCTGTCAGAGTTGTGTTCCACCATGACAAGGCAGTGAAACCTTTTATGCATGCGACACCACAAAAATACGATCGCAKAATTTTGCTGTGACATTATTTGCAAACATTTCTCTTTTGGCAACCAATGAGATAATGGCATGTTTGATACTAATCAGACAACAGCTGATGCTATTTTTTGCTCTTCTTTACCATATTACTTAGGAAAATTTTCTTCACACAGAACCTCTGTGTCAGTGGCACTGGGTGCCCAAGTGTATTTGTGTTTATTGTGACAGAACTGTAGGCACAGATTGAATTCTTTACTTTTTTTTTCTTAAGAGCATATGGTTTGGGAGCTGAAAACTATGAGTGTTTGAAGCCTAATCCCCATTCTCCTTCTACTGCCTATTTTTTGGCCTCAGATAATCACTTAACCTTTTTCTGTGCCTTGGTTCCTTCCTCTACACCACAGAGATATGCAACTTTAAGTACTTCTTCTGGGCATTTCATAATTCATAAAAAATTAAAGTTCTTTGAGGATATAAAATATGTATATAGTAAATGCTAAATATTTTTACAATGGTGCAAGGAAAAGGTTGATTTCTGCATTTGAATTCATTACCATCCATAAAATTAGTGTTTAATCTGCACTGCAATTCGGTACCTTAGTCATTCAAACATTATTGAATGCAAAACCGAGTAATGAGTTTTGCACTGCTGCCCTTTTGACTGGGCATTCATGGAGTCGGGGGAAATTATCAGTCTCTGCTGGTCTGCTTGATTTATTRTTGATTGTATATAAAGATGATTTCACTTAAGCAGAGACCCTTCAAACCTTTGATTCTGGAGGTAGGTCTGTTTGATGAGGAAGTTCACTTGAACAGTTTTCAAAGCAGAGASCTGGACCCAAAACTGATCTCTCATACATGAGTGCTCCAAACATCTGCTTTTAGGCCTCATCTTTCCGCCATTTATAAAAGGGGTTGAAGACAGCCTCTCTTCAGCTGCTGCTTTCACCTGTGAAAGACAACAGTGAGCTGCAAAGGTGTGAGAGAAGGGCATCAGGGTCTTGGGGGGAGTGCTGTAAGCACTGAACTTCTCATCTGGGAGAAGATGAGCTGGGGAGGGAGGGGCAGGATGGGTGCCATTGACAGATGTTAGAGAGGATTAATTCCCTGCCCTCTTTTTAAATGGAGCAGCTTGAAGCCTGCACAGGCACTTGCAGCAGGGGTACCTGTCCCTGGGCTGGCACCAGGGCAGCTGAAGGATGTGCCCGATGTATCGACATCTTCAGGTGCTGCAGTGGCACCATCACAGTCGGTGCTGCAGCCCTGCTGGGAGAGCCCCACGTGCCTCTGCTGCTCAGGAACAGGCTCTAGGTCACAACTGAGCTGGCTGAGGCCCCACACCTATCCCTAAAGGCAAGGGACAGGATCTAAGGGCACACTTTTGTCTCAGGAATATCATGATGCGGAGGAGCGGCTGTGCAATGCGGCAGCATCATGGCAACCCCTTGTCAGCACTGGGAAGAAGTGAAATAGATGCCAGCATGCAGTGCCCTGCTGTATCCCTCACTGCTTTCAGTACCTCAGCATGTCCAAACAGCAGTGCAGTAGGCTTCCTTGATCACCTCGATTACCAGATGCTTGGGCATGCCACACCGGCGTGGAAATGCCTTCTCTTTGCTCTTGAAAAGCAGAGGTGCAACCTTCTGCCATGGATTCCTGTTCGGGAATCTTCCCTTCCTCAGGCAAATGAATACAGGCATCACAGCAATAGGCATGGCCAGAACATCCTGAAGTCAGTTTGCTTGACATAGACAGGAAAAGGTCATTGGCAACCACTAGTGCAGTGTGCTGAGGATGGCGGAGCAGCAGGGTTTGCTCTGGCCTTGCACTGAGGCTGTGTGTTCATCACATGGARGAGGAGTGGAGTGTAGCAAGTGGGATGCAGGGGATGAGGTGGAAGACTGAGCAAAAGTCAGTTTTAATTAGCTAATGCTATCAAAATGTAGAGCCCTGCACATCATGAAGGAGAAGCAAAGAGCTTCAAAAACAAGATGAGGGAGGTGGAATTAACCACATTTGTGAAAGTTTTGAAATTACTGAAGCTGGAGGAAAGGATGTGGGCTCATGAATCTCAGATCATGAAGGAAATAAGGGACAATTAACAACATTAGGCAGCCACCAGGCTGTCTGGCAGTGCCCTGTAGTCAGTCCAGAGGATGCCAGGCTTCCCTGACAGTAACCAGAAGTGGTAACCTGTTCTGTCATCAGCCAGGCAACGCTACAAAAGGTAAGAGCAAGAGTCATATTTTAAGAAGAGTTGCACTTCTTCGGGATGATTTGAGCATTGGTGCTAAATTCCTGTTGCTGGTGCTGCTGACAAGAGCCAGCAATGCACATTCTTGGGGTTRTTAAATTACTGTTATATTAATTGCTGTCTCTTCTGGATGCTGCAGTTGCATTTTTCATGTCTGTTTATTGCCTTTGGTTGCTGCCTGCTGAAGACAGTGTGGGCAGATCCAACGTCTGATGCTTTGTTTTAGTTGCCTGGCTACTGTAAAACGTTATCTTAGCTTTTGCTGAGGTGCCACAGATGCTTTATTGATGATTGTCCAAACAAGGAAATACATAAAAGATGCTGGTGAATGCTGTGCTTGCCTAGTTCTGCTGCTTTTGCTGGAGATGCTGCAGTATGCTTTCTTGGCTTCGCTACCACAGATTCTCTGTACAATAATGTAGAGGTTAGACTGAAACCTTTCGTTTACACAGTGGGGCCATGGTCAATGCCAAAGGTAATATTATCTGTATCTCAGTATGCAAAGGAACTGTTTCTAGAAGGAGATGGTGGGCAGCTGCTTCACTAAATTGCAATGCATTCTTTTCTGGTAATTGTTATAAAGGAAATGTATTTTTCCCGTTGATTGTGTTGCCAGATTTTTTCCTTCCTTTCTCCCTGTGAATGTCTCCAACAGAGAGAGATTTAAGTCTCAAAACTTACTTGGGATGTTGACTTCAAACCTCTTCCCTGCCAGATACTGAAAGTAACCAATATTTCTTCTGCTCTAGGCAGTTTCTGTTTATGCTTGCTTAACTTTATCTCTTTCCATCACAAACACTTCTGATTAAATTGTTTTCTTGTACTTGCGGTCTGAAACCTCTTCTAAAGTCTCTGAATATGTTTCTCTTTCTATGTTTCTTTTCAGTCAGTCCAAAAATATTTTGTCAGCAAATAAATAAAAAAAATTACTTTTAACAACTGTTTTATTTTCTTCTTTAGTATTATTGCAAGCCTTTTCTTAATTATTCTTGCCTTTTGGCAGTTGCAGTGCATTAATATTTACGAGATGAGATACAGTTTTTTGTTTATATTAGCAGTCTTCAGTCTGTGAGATCTGGACCAACCAGAATGCAGGATATCCTTTCTCATCGATCCATCAGGTTCATAATGTAAGATACAGCGATGAACGGCTATGTTGTCACTCTATGGATGTACAGTCTGTTGCCTTGGTGTTCTCCACGGGTGTCATGTCGCTGAAATGACAAAAGCAGTCCGTGGCCTGTCGTTCCTGGGCGGGGAGCGTGTGTGCGCCATTCGTGTATCGTTCCGTGTGGTTGGCGTGTGTCGGCTCCATGGTGTGCGTCCATACGGGACGGGCTGGGGGACGCTGCCAGCAGCCGTCTCGCTCAGGGGGAGCTTTGAGTTCTGTTCCTGATGTTTTTGTTCACTTCACCCTTCCAAAGCAGGAAACCGTGTAACCGGCTGGGTTTGCACAGTTTCACCCCCGCAGTGTGTYGTGCTGCCCTCGCTGTGTTGGTTTGTAGGCTTTGTCCAGCTGAGGTACGCGCTGCCTTTGCAGAGGGGCATTGGAGGTAACACTGATGGTTCCTGAACTTTYATCATTTCTTTGGCACCCACAAATGCATTGCAGATGAGAGCAAACCTGGTGATCTGTACTGTAGTGTGGTAGGGACGACAGCCAGTTGTTTAGCAGAGTRGTTGAGAGCAGCTGTGGATTTCTCCTAATTCTGTCACGCCTCCTTGGAACATTTCTGCCATAGAGGGGCTGCTTTGACTATTGAGCGTTAGAAGGTTTTAAAATCTTAAGTACACCATGAATCTGTTTCCATTATTTCAAAAGCCAAACATACAAGGAGCTTAAAATAATTGTTTTCCTCTAGGAATCAAAACACAAGCAAATAATGAGGATTCGACTGGTCTGCAGAACATTTAAAATTTTTATGGGGAGAAAATTATACATTTTTCAGCCAGAGCTGTTGTATCCATGTGTGCTCCAATTTGTTGTCATGGTAACTAATACACRTTGCCATAACTAGGCTTAACAGGTGAAAAGTTATAAGATGCGGTCCTTGTTAAAAATAACTACATTCAAACCACTCAAAACCAGGCCTTCTTGGTTTTTTTTTTTCTTCCTTTTAGCATGGAGGCTTTTTAACTTCACATTTTTATAAAAAGATGAGGAAGGTGTTAGATTTTTATAGAAGTTTTATTGAGGTTACTTCTTATCTGTGACTGTCTCTGCATCCAGGTGCCTTTAAYACAAATCAAACACACATCTCAGAGAAGGGGATGAGATAGGAAAATGTGCACCAATTGTGCAAAAATTACCTAATARCTGTAGTTTGCTGGTGTAGCTCATTTGACATCAAGCATCTGACCCTTTCTGGAGCACTGAGAACTGCCCATCTTCAGGGGTAGAAAGCACGAGGTATTGGTCTCTAAGGCTATTAAAAGTTGTCATTGTAAAAGGATTGAATCCTTACTGCTCTGGCTCCTGACTTGAGACCATTTTCTGATTATAAATCCTTTATCTGCAAAATGTGGAGCAAAAAAAGAACCTTCTTTTTCAAGTTAGCAGAGGTCAAAGAGAGGAAAGGTGCTGGTTAAAATTGTAGAGAGGTTAGATTACTAAAATACAGGCAGTACAGCAAAAACCATGTGATGAATTGCGCAGCTGTCTGATGAGCTGTAAAGTTAGATGAGGAAGAAATTATCTCTTGCCTTTCTACTTCATCAAAGAGATAAATATCTCCATCTGTATATTGTGTCATAAAAAATACATAAGCTTAAATGTTTGATTATTTCTTATAATTGCAAATTAAATATTCAAACCAGGAAATCCTTATCCTATCATATATATTTTTAATACTTAAAATGAACATTATAGTTGGTCTTGCACAGCAATTTATGAACATTTCTTACAGCTTCAAAAGTGTATTAGGTGCTTATGAAGGACCTGAATCTCAATATATCACCCATAAATCCTCAGAGTTAGGACTACTAATAATTTATATTTTTCTACCCTGACCTGAGCCTTGTGGTTTCAAGTCTTCTCTAGGTCAAAGATGATCCTGTTTTGTATTTTGCCAGATGTTAGCTGTCATTGTCACATCTTAAATCTCACAATTTTAATATCTGACTAGAACCAATCAGCTGAGCATTTTCCTTTCTTCCTGTTGAGATTTTTAGACACAGATTTACGAATGTATTTAGCCGTCAAAATCTTGTTTAAAAGCTTTTCTTCCCTGAAAAAAAGGAAATTGCACAGAAAATATGTAACAGGAGTTACACTTCTAAACTTCTTCATGGCTCTAGGCTTTGGAGACTACCCTGTTATAACTCAGTTAAATAGGTTATGAATACCAACAGTAGTGCTGCTTAAAAGTCTAAGGAGTTTAGTAAGAAACAAAAGGAAAGGAAACCAGAAACCACTTCTGCTGAATATTAAAACACACCTATGAGTCAGGTGTAAAAGAAAATTTTGACTATGTGTAATGTCTTCTTCATCCATCATAATAATCTATATCTATGTGTTTAATTTTATGGAACTTCTCTTAGTAGCTGTTTCCTCTACTAGACACACCGAAAAACATGAARGGCCTCCAGGTGCAGAAATCCTGTATCTCTGCATTCCCCTAACCTCAGCTCTATTGCATGTTTAGTACATCCTAGAGATATTTATAGCAATCTTGGCAATTCTGTTTTGTCGAATTTAAAAGGAGTAGGTAGTTGGATGATTGTATTTAGAGAGCAGTCAATGCGGTCTCCACACAGTCCCTCTMTAAGTGTCTCTTACACGAGTTTTATTAGCCTGGTTAAAGATTATTTCTYGTTTCTTTATAAAATTGAGCCAAAACAAGAGGTAATCATGATTGCCCTTTTTCTGCCCTTTATTTACAGACAGAAACAATGCAGTTCTCTATGCTTTTCATAATTAACATGCAAAAGGGTAACAAACTGTAAAATTACGTACTCATTTTACWCCTTATGTACCCTGCTTAATTGGCCAGTGCTGTCCTTTTTCTGCATGTGAGGAAAGCTACCTGCTGAGCAGTGCAGCAGAAGGGTTTGGAGCACTACCCCTGGTCACTTGTTGGGYAGAAGTTCTGGTCCTGCCTCATGGGCATCCCTGCGCTTCTTGGTGGAGAGACCAGTGATCAAAAGATGTACTTTTATAACTGTTCTGTCCTGAATTTACTCCTGCTCCATCATAGTAACCTTTTGCTAAATGGCTAGCACGTACCTTCTGAGCTCTGCTGCCTTACATAGAACATGCAGGAGTGTATCTTTATTAGGGGGAAAAAAGAACTATTTCATGTGGTCTGTTAGTTRTGGCCTTGAACAGTTCATAAGAGACAGTTGAACACACTGAGAATTTGTGATGGGTGCAATCCATCTTCTCTTGTTGTCAGACTCTACTAATAAGGGTGCAGATCCTTGCCCCTTGTAATACGTCGAAAATCTTGTAAGAAGAACTACCTCGTAAAGAAACCAAATTCCCACTTCAGATGAAATAAGATACAAAGTTTTTGTGCATTAATGGCCAGAAGGATTTACTTTTGTGGATGTAAACTGCCAAAATATGGAGCAATTTCTCCTGCCACTTTCCTTTCAAAATCTGATGCTGAAGTCATATCCATGGCATATAGGCAACTTAACTTGGCAAAACAGAAATTACACCACTTTGTAATTGGTRGATTTGCTAATGGTGCCAACAGTAACTAGGTTCGACTTGTTTTATGATGTTCTCTTGCTTGAAGTTCCCATATTGGCAGGGTAATGTTGATGTTTCCAGATTAATCTCTTGCTTTTCATTGCAGAGCTGTGCAAATGCGTGTCATTTCGTTATTTTGTGACACATGAAAACGATGTACTTGTTTTGTTTACTCTGTCCTGACTTAATTAGTAAGATGTGATAGTTTGCCAGACTTTGAATGTCTTCGATAAGATTTTTTTTATGTGTTTTTGATGCTTAACGTCTTTTTGCTATAAAAGTCTAAACTTGTAGTCGTATTCTGTGTGAAATGCTGATGACGATTCCTTGCCAGTTGCAACATGTATTTTAGCAATATGACATACATAGAAAATACACAGAGTTAAGTGCAGGTAAAGAAAGAAGTGGCATCATCCAAATTGAAACAATCATGTACGGAAGGGTAAAATAGTTTGATGGAGAAGGAGCAGGGGAAGAAGGAGGATCAGGAAGGACAAATGTAATTGCAAGACAAAGTTGGAAGAAGGGGGGAACTGAGAGGCAGTCCAGACCAGAGAGGACAGAAGAGAAGTGAGGCTGGTGGCAGAGGGAAGAGGGCTTGGAAAGGGGAGAAGTCCATCATTTTCAGTTCCAGTGAGCTGATACATGGTAGAAGGAGCCCCTAAGGAGAGGTCAGTTCAGGTCATATAGAGCCATGAACAAAAATACACAGTGGCAAGTGAGACCCAGACCAGCACTGTAGAGTGAGTAGTACAGGAGACATTCCTGTACTGAGCCTGCAGTGGCTCTTTGGGAGGGAAGAAGAGTGTGCTGTGAAGGGATTTGGCAGCAGACTGCAGTCCTACCTGTGTTCTCCGAGGGCTTTGAGGAAGGAGAGGAGATGACAGCTCAGAAAGGCAATCTCCTATATCAGTGAGAATGATGAATGTGGAAGGGCAATGTTGGTACCTCCACAATGAGGCATCAAGAGAAGGTGATCAAAGTAAATATTCGTAAAGAGATTAAAGAATGCCTCATGTGTTTGAAGAATGCATAATAAGCCTTCAGATCAAAGCAAAGTCTCTGTTATTTAGCCATTTAGGAAAGTTAGTTATAGGTTATATGTCCCGGATAATGGARGGTGTATTAACTGTGCAGAAAAGCTTGTAAAACACATAGCAGAATTTGTGGAAGGCATTTTTGTGCATCTCATGATTTTTTTCAAGTGCTCTCACCCTCATGTATGTATTGTAAACACTTATTTTTAAGGAACATTTCCAGTGCCTAATGATTTTATTCTCAAAGCACAGAGATTTAATTAAAGTCTCATTAAACACTACAGTAGATGACTTTGGATTATAAATTAAATCATGAAAAATGTTGTAAGGATTGTGTTCCCTTATTTTAGTAACACGGCTCTATGTGTAGAAAATAAATTCATGTTAATTGAGCACAACAGTGGAGGGCTACTTCACAGTGAATTTGCCTGCACATACTCTTACATCTTGAACAACTGTGATTTTCAGACAGGAGACTGGGGAGAGCCTTCAATTACCTTGCGACCTCCAAATGAAGCCACAGCGTCAACGCCTGTACAATATTGGCAACATCATCCAGAGAAACTCATCTTCCAGTCATGCGATTATAAAGCATTTGTAAGTGTTGATACGTTTGRTGAATTGATTTGGGGTAGATATACGAAACTTGGATTTTGATAGGCTGTTGTGTTTTRTTTTCATTTATAATAATTTTTCAGTCACTTTTAGAGAGGCCACTGCTTCTGAAATACTGTAATTGTAGTAAATGAGAAACAAGGATGCACAGTACCTCTTTGCTATGAATTTTGTGATATATTGCAGTCCATGTGSCATTAGTGTTAGAGAAAGGGCACTRTGAGCAAGTGGCTAAGKGTTGCTGAAGTGACMGTGAGAGCAAACATCCCTACTTTTCATCTGTTGCAAATCCCTGTCTAGCASTTATGAAAGAATAATGAGACATAATATGGGATCCTCATACCTACCTTAATGCTGTGTGCACAGTGACTGAAGTAAGTATTGCCCCTCCTGCATTTTATACATCTGTTCATCTGTTTTTGGGAAAGGAAATTGAGAAGATGGAGATGAGGGTGCTGAGTATTTTCCATCCATGGGATAAGGGGACATTTGAACCTTTCCCAGACTGTTGGCTGCTTGAAGTACCAGGCAGTTCCATCAGGGCAGGGCATATCACTTCCCATTCCTGGACAAATGGAGCCTCCCTCTACAACTAAAGACAATTAATCTTCTCTGGCTGTTATAAATTCTTGTAGAGGAGAGAATGGTCTCCTGCAGTACAGAAAGTCATTGGAAGGCTTTTTTTTTTTTTTTTTTTAAATGAAAAAGAGTTTTCTGAAATCTTGAGTTTCCTGTCAACAGGGTGGGGGGACTGGAGCTTCTAGGGAGCTGAAGATGTACTTCAGGCCACCCTCTTAAATGCTTGTGACTTTGTTGGAAAGCATTGTTAAAGTTGTTGAAGGTGCTTGCCAGACCATTGTGTGCACTCTCTGGAGGTGAAGGAAGGTTGATCTGTACAAAGGAAAGGGGCTCCGTAGTTGCCGTGTCTTTAGGATAATAGCTGGGGGGCCACTGGTCCARGACTTGGGGTTGAGATCCTGTTCTTTTGGGGTGGGTGGGTGTTTCTTCTTAGGATTGCTCTGTTCACTAAATACTGCTGCATTTTGGGGAACAGTTGGAGGTTGCTGGACCGCATTTATATCTGGGAAGGTTGGAATTAGAGACTAAATGCAGGTGAGATAGTCTGGCTCCCTTTGGGGAGGGGTAGAAGGGGTGTTACAGACCTGTCTTTCTAGAGCACATCTGTATCTTCTATCAGACCTTCACATGGTTAAAAATTGCCATGCATGCAGTGATTATCCCTGGACAGTAAATAGAGCCTCTGCCTGCCTCAGCAAGTTACAGCAGGGACCAGGTCACCTGCTCTCAGTCTTGTTCTCCTACTATTTAAAACCTCCCTGCTCACCTCAAATTGAAAAGGAAGGTTAGCAGCTTCTAGTTCTTTAAATATTTTTCATCATTTTCAGACCATGTTCTTCTCAAGAGTGCCTTATCTCTTATTACATGATCCAACAGTAAATTCATCATCAAATGTAACCTTCGTAGTAGGTCGGAAGATGGGTCATTTAATAAATGAAGTTGGAATGACCAGGAATATCCAAGTTAATAGGGATTAAGGAAACACCTTCCTTTCCTAAGGACCATGTGTCACCACTTTGTGACCTCAGCCTTACAGAGTAAAACCCTGGCTTTAAGTGACAATCAGGGTAGCTTTCATTGTATGGCACATCTTGCCATTAAACTGTTGGATCTTCTCTGTAGTGCTCCCAAGTGCTCGGGGTGTTTGAGAAGGAACATTTCCAAAAGCACTGCAAGTCAAAAGGAAGCAAAGTATCCTCCTAGAGTTTCAGATTTTTCTGACAACTAAATTGAACGGTGCTACTGTGATTTGTATGTGTTCCACAGTCCACCTTGGGAAGCATTTCTGAATGCTTTCAGCTGAATGTGCTGCTGTGCACATGGGA